GTAAAAGTGGTGGGGTAAGACCCTTTGTCCAGGGTGGGACACACACACACACACACCCGCGCGTGCGCGCGAGTGGAAAAGCTCTGAGCGCTCGACGCGTCACCGGCCTTAGACAATGGGAACTAAACGTAATGGTCGAGGTGTGTCAAGTAAAGCTGAATGATACCCAAACATGGAGCTCCATGTATGTATGACACATATTTATAACGTTGGGGGTGGTTGAAAAGGGTCAATGTAAATAAATGATGTTAAATGTGCCATACATGGAGTGTCTAGGATACCTGTCTTTTGACAAAGATCGCAAAACGTGATGTCGGATGATGTCGGATGGCCTAAAGTTTGGTTGTGCGGCACCAATCAATCAACTAACACTGGACAAACGAGGAGCTGTATAACGGATGACTCTGCAAGATGTCCCCCAAAAAATGTCTCCGACATTGTAGGTAGGACCATCCTGTCTGGGTGTCTAATTGACTACCCTACACTCCTACACACGCATACTTGGGGATCTCCATTGGACAGCCACTGGATGGTCCCGGCAGGTATTTGAATAATCATCAATATGGTCCAAGCAGGGAGGTTGTTTGATGTTGAAGTACCATACTTATATACCTGTCTGCCTTGAGATGATCCAATTCTTCAACTAAAAACCCTGGTCCGATAGTTACAACTCACATCACATTGCTTTGTAAAACGAAAAACCCTTTTGCACCCATCTAGCGCTCTAGCTAGCTCTTTTCTGCAGTGTCGATCCAAACTCTTGATCCATCCGGAAGATCCGCTGAACAAACCCTTTCGCTCAGCGATCCTTCGAGAGAACTCCATCGCTGAACCCGCCAACCCCTTCCGATCGTCCGCCACCACAGTGTCGCTGAGCGGTCGTTCGCCGAGCACTCCATCGCCGTAGGCGTGACAAAGCCGCCGCAGTCGTCCGCCCGCTGAGAACGCGCTGCCCACGAAGCATCGGGGGGTTCCCACAGGTCGGCTGACGGCGTGAAGAAACCGCCGACAGCGCAGGACCGAAGCGATCGCTGCCGGTGAAGGTGGCAGCACGGCGTAGTTGGGCTGGGCATGGAGATGGCATTGAATCCAGGGGTATCCAGGGGCGGTCCGCCAGCCACCTCCTGGTCCAATCTGTAAACGCGACGGCGAACAAGGCCCTAGGCCGCAAGGCATCACATCTTAGCCTCCCTGGTCACTAGTCGCCAGCCAAGGACTCACATTCGTAGAAGCTCGCCTTGGCTCCAACAACTCGCAACAAGAAACCAAATGCACACGGCGGTCTTCATGATGTATTGTAAGCAATTTTAGGATCCCAAATCTTCCACATATATGTCACATATATTACACGCAGTATATATATATATATTTAGGAATAGAATCAATATTATTTGCTTATTATCTATAATTTATATTCACAGCCCTAAAGGTTCCTTTCAACCACTAGTCTGGGGATGGTTTGTGGGGTGTCAAACCAATTGCGAGTGAATGTCTGTGTTGCTTCACCCTTACGACCCTTGAGGCAGTGCCCAAGCAAAACATGTCAGGACTCGAGAAGGACCTGCCGCGAGAAAGCATCCTCACTTGACACCGGTTGAAGCTGAGAAGTGTTCTTTGAAAGGAACAAATTCCTCAGAAACCACACACACACACCCCATCAAAACCACAGGGCCTCCTCACCGGACCAGAAAAAAGGCACGGGTCAAGAGGGAAACGAGAATCCATTGGAAGATGTTGTGTCCACTTAGTGGAATCCAGTGGATCTGCAGGAGGGACCCAGGTGGTAAAAGATGTTGGGATCGTACAGTTGCAGTATCTCCGGTTCACCAGCACTTGTTGCTCATGAAACGAAGAGGCGAACCCAGGGTGGTGCCAGTGTCTGTCTACCAATAGATCGTCCCCAGACGGAGACCAAGGCTGCCAAGGCCTGTCAGTGTCTGTCTTGAACGAGGGACATCATCATCATCCTCAGATTTTCGGTCCTGCAAGTCGGGATCAAACTCTCGGGATGGATCGACAAAAACCAGTCGTTGATTCAATCAGTGGTCTTGCCGAACGAGCTGTGTCAGGCAATTCAAGGATCCTTTTGTGCAGCCTTTCATCACCTATAAGATCATGACATGTTATGCCATGTTATGCCTTCAAACACCGTCAAAACCAAGCATATGTGATGTCCCATGACCCAATGAATTGAATCAGCATGGTGGTATCTTCTCCAAAAACTCCGTCCATGTACGTCCATGTCAACCAACAGAGCGAACAGAGTGCTCACCCTTCAGTGCTCGGGTCAACCTCACGGTAGCCAACCCATCTAGGAAGTGTTTGACAGAAGCACCCCCGAGTGATCAGGTTCATCAACCAAACGAGTCTAAGATATGACTAAGGATTTTCAGACACCATAGACTATATATAGACGACTATCTTTTTTATGACACCTTCAACTTATGATGAACAAAGTATCTTTGTACCTTTGTAGCTTGAAATTGTGCTCACTTTAGAAACAAGGGTGTCACTTGGACTTCCTATTGCAAAGCTGGTCTGAAACAGCTGCCAACTCCGCTGCCCCCCCCAACTTTTGTCAAATGTGTTTACTTTGCTCTGTGTCTTTTCAACCCTCGTTTTCTTGATGTTTGTTCAAGCTTTCGACTTACCTTTCGACCCCATGTGCACTGCAAAGGTTCCGATGAGACGTGGCACCGTCGGAACCTGATTCTAGGGTGGCATGCCAGCCCTGGGTGACGTTGGGGCTTGAACAATGCACATGCCAAACTGTAGCGGCTGAACTCTTGTGAATCCAAACGTCCAATTCTGGCCCCGCATCTTTCTGTGAATCAAACATCTCTCCAGGACCTTCCAACAGGTCGTTTTTGGACAACACTTAGCCTCTATAGAGGCATTTTGAGGCTATTTATAGACACCTCAAACGGAAGGTCCTGGTATCTCATCTCTATCTTCGACCATGCGCAACAAACTCCGCACAGCCGATATCTTGGCAAGACGAAGAGATCTCTACATTCAGGGGAAGTAGTAGTGGGATGATCCATCTCTATCTCATTCTATATCTATCTCTACGTCCAGGCAAGTCCGTGTTGCCCAAGCACATGTCCAGGGAAGTCACTGGGCCAACCTGTCTAGGGAAGTCACACCACCAAGGGGAGAAGAAGCATAGCGCATGTAGCGCATGTAGTGCTTCTGATGTGCTGTCAAGTACCGCGCGCACACAAAAGAAGGCATGTGGGTGGTGTTGGCAAAATTGACTCTCTGAAGGCCAAGTCGTGATGTGTTCTTGACTTTATAGATCCCCAATTAGATTCTACTTAGTAGATCCCCACTAAAGGTGTATTGGAAACCGTGCCACTATCTATGTGGGGATCACTATAAGAGTAGCTGAAATGGATACTTCAGCCAATTGCGGCCCGGGTGTCGAACCCTTTGGACCGACCGGAGCCATGACGGTCTGCCGAGGACGGTCTCGCTGCGAGGGAAACCACCTGGTGCATCCCGGAGGCGCATGGATTGCAGGACGTACCTTGAGAGGAACACATGGTGAACTTCGGATGTTGGATGATCTTGGAGGATGTTCTGAACTTGAAAGAACTTGAGAGGATGGATGTTCGATGATCTTCGATGATCTCAGCCACCAGCACATTTTTGTTTTTTTGGTTTCGACCCCCCAGGTCTCATACCATCTCCTGGATGATCTGCTCCCGGAAACCCCGCTCCAGAAACCGCTGGCTGCGTCAGACAGGTCCGACCGGTGCTGACCCCGAGAACTTCATCGTCCTGCGTCTCGGACTTCTCCGGGGAGGCCTCCTCCGGCAGCGTCACCCGTGGCAAGGGCTCCGTGTCTTCGGCCTCCGTCATGGCACTGGGGGACCCTGCAGGGACACCTGAACATGAAGCGATTCCTCTTTGGGGGGGGATGTCAACCAAAACCCCAAGGTTTGGATATGTTTGGTATGGTTTGATGGAAGAGGTTTTGACTCACAGCCCCTTTTTTCCCAGACAATTTGCCTCAAACCAAAAGAACTTCGAGTCTGGCTGGCTGTGCTCAGCCAGCCGGCGAAAATGTTGTCATGCTGCATAGCTATATGGTGTCCCAGACCATCCATGGGACTGGAATAGTTGACAACAACTGGATGGGGGTTCGGCATGGGCCTAAGAATGAGAGGTGAGACTGACCTTTGCTCATCAAAAACAAAGGCAAACACTGGCAAGACTTGATGGCACATGGATGCTCATTGTTAAATCCATTGGTTGACGTCCGAGCCTCTTCGGGGCCCAAAAACGACGGTGAAATCAACAAGTTGACTGGCTGATCTGCAGCCTCGGGCCCTGGGTCTGGTGCCTTGGGCCTTCCTCCCCCGATGCAAACAGCTAGAGGTTAGCTGAGGAAAAGCCCGCTTGGTGTAAGTCTTGTGAGATGTTCTTGAAGTTTGGCCGCCAGGCAGCACCTGAACAGAACAACAAAGGTGTCCTTGTTTTACGAGAAAAACATGCATTTTGGAGCATGTGGATGATTCCTCTGAGCAACTTTGTGAGACGGCCCTGCAGGGAAAAAACAACAGAAACATGACAACCATTTCGTGAAGCCAGTGGCTTTTTGTAGCATCTTGGAGGCCATCGCTACTAGGAGCAAGGACGCTACTTATTGGCTTCATGGCCGGGCCTCCTGGTGTTCGGCCAGCAGGCCGCGCGCTGCTTCGTTGGGGTCAGGGAGCCTGCTGTTGTCCTCACACGTTGCGGCCACCGCGAGACTCGCGCCGGCCGCTGGTGCCGGCGGAAACGGGCGGAAACGGGACACTTCCACCTGTGACCTGACAGCAATGAATGATCCATGTCCAAGTCAAGGACCTGCTAAGTCCCAGAACTGCTCACAGGTAGAGTGTAGGTCCCAAAACAGCTAGCACAAAACCATCACCATTACCTATAAGAGCTCAAAAAACATACCTGCAACTACTTCAAAGGGACCTCAGGTATTCAATCATGTTAGACCTCAGCCTCCTCATACCCTAAGGTACACCCATTCTAGACCCAAAGTAGTTGAGGCTATCAAAAAAATGCAGTTGTCTGGGACACATATACATCTTTTTGGACCTGAGGGTGCACAGTGTTCATCCGTTCTGTCCGCAGCGGGTGCAGTGGAGTTGCGGAATCAAACCCAAGCACGTTGGACCAATTACGCAACACATAACATACCCACAAAACAAGAGCTAAACATAACACAAAACAAATTGATATGTGTCAACTGATCTCAATGCATGTGTTAAGATGGACACTGAAAGTGACTGTCTCTGGTAGGATTTTCCGCCGTGCCTCTTGGGGAACTTGTCCTATCAACCTTCATGTGGCTATTGGACAACCTCCAAAGAACATGTACTCCGAGTGGGAAGCAACGAGGTGAAACACATGGAAAAAGCAAGCAAGCAAGCAAGCACATCAAATAGATTTCTCAATCCAAGGCTTAAGGCTTAAAACGCCATGCGCTTAAAGTGATGGACATTCCGCTTCGCCCTTGCGGATCCCTAAGGGTCATGACATCCCTATGACTTTGAGCCAATTGCTGAAGCCACTCCCCAGGAACATCCCTAACTACACCACCCTTGAAACCACTCCCCAAGAACGATAACCCCGAAAAACCACCACACCCAGATCACATCCCAACCAAAACACCGAATCGACCAACCGACTAACCGACTAGGCCGTCCTGGGAGTTCCTTCCGCGCTCCCGTTCCGCGCCCTCGAGCCGGCGCGGCGCTTCGACGAGCTCGGTCTCCAGCCGTGGGCGACCCGCCTGAGGACAGGATGACACCCCTCCCCGAGGCCTGCGACACACCATGGAGACGATGGAGACCATGGAGAGCTTACAGCTACTTGGAAGAAACACGACAATAGCCTACCAACCTACCAATAGGGTTGTGTGAATCCTATGGGTTCTTTGCGTTTCTCCCAACCTACCAATAGCCTACCAACAAACCAACAAAAACACTTGCCGACTTGCCAGTCACTGGTTTGGTGACTTTTTTGCGTGGCATGTTGGTTGACTTCCCCCGATCCCATGACATCAGGAGATCTTGCAACCCAGGAACGCACAAAAGGTCACAAAAGGATAGCTAGCAGCTAGCATACTATATAAGCCTGAAAAAGACTTGGAAAACAAGTTGTCCTTTCGATGTGTTGAACTGCTATATCATCATACATACAAGCACCTTCCAAGAGGTCTCCAAGAGGTCGGCTTTTGCAGACTTAAAAGGTGCAGGCGGTGAGTTGGAAGGTGCTGGTCTTGTTGCGTTTGCTTTATTGTTGGAATATACATTATACATATATATATATATAGAGAGAGAGAGTGACGGAAAAACTCTTAGAACATAGTTTTATATCTTATGATGTTCTAAGTGGTTGTCTACCACTACATATACTTTCCAATAGTTCCCATACCTTTGTGCAAAGCAACCCGCATTGCAGCAAACAGCACGGTGTCTGCTGTCCGCGCCTGAGCACTACACGTGCATCACCCAGAAAATCATAGAATATCCCCTTCTTATCCTCTGCTTGCTGCCACCAGATGTGTTCGCATGTTTTTGTCGACTTTCCGCACCGAACTGGATGATTTGGGGGGGTTCATCTCCTTTTTGGACGGTGAGGAACTGGCCGAGCGGCTGCTTTCAACTCACCCCCCGCCTTGGGCGCGTGCGCTTCCTCCAAGGCTTGAAATGGCGTCTCAGGTTCAGTCCTGGCCAGAGTTGCAGCTCAGCGTGCTGCAACAGGATGTGAAACATCCCACTAAACAGAACTGCATTCAAAGATTGGGATTTGATGATGCAAGTGTTCATGTTAAAAGAAGGGGGCCCGGGGCATGTCTCCATATAGGCACTGGCAGCCCCTTGGGGTACCAAGTAGGCACCATGTTTTGGTGTCAGATGTCAGTCCATGAGGCAGCCAAGTAGGCAGCCAAGCCTGACTTCCTCACCGCCTGAGATCAGAACTTCTTGGTATCCTGGGTCCCCCGGGTGGCTCGAAGTCCATGACGCTTGAGCTCGTGCTCCAAGTCTCGAACGTGACCCAGCAAATACGTCTGTGTCCGCCCCACCAATCTTTCGATGTGCATGGCCCAAAACGTGCTGGGAGGTGTGCTTTCACAGAGGCCTCGCCCAAGTTCCATCCAAACTCCTCAAGTCCAAGGGGCAAATGGCTGTCAGCAATCACCAATTGCACGGTGGATTGGTAGAACAAGAAAGCCTGAAGAACAAAAACATCGCATTGTCTACACATGATCACCTCAAGTCAGGCCTGTGAATGCTTCATGGACGCGGAGTGCCGGGAGTAGATCAGCCCAAACAGTTAACAATTCCGAAAAAGATGCGTCTTTTCACAAGACTGCCAAGTCTGGAACCACCGAATTCGTATGACCAGTCCAGTCTGGATGTTTTCTTTCAAGGCCATGGGCAGATTAGACACCTGAAACAAATCAATTGCACACGTCCTGGTTATATAGGAAGATCTGGGACATGCCAAGCTGCTCCAAACGGAGAGGACTGGGCAACAAAACGACAGGGGACAAATTGACAGTATCTGTAGTAAACGCCTTCAACTAACAACAGCATACAGTATTACAACTGTGCAGAAATCAAACCTGATCGCCTGATCACGTCTGTGATCATCTGTGTAATTAATCTCCATTTGTATGATTGAACCCATGTAAAATACACGTGCTATACAGCTGGTGTAGATTGTAGATCTACTGATCTAATACACTTCCTTCTGCTGTGCGACATCGATGGAGCGCTGGAGGATGCTGGAGGTGTTCGACCAGTCGATTTCTCCCACCGAACGCTATCAGACCTCTCGGCCCAAGATGGGTGAGCCATTTGCGAGAAGATCCAGTCAGAGGTGAGAGGTCTGAGAGCTCAAGTTAAGATACATATATATATATATATATACAGTATATATATGCCGCCAAAGGAAAAGCACCGGGGAAGGCACAAGCGAGGACATGTGTACAAAGGGGCGTCGTCCTGTCACTGAAAACCACTAGACGATGTCATTGGCTGAGTTGGCAGTTGCATATTGAAAGTATAGTTGGGACTCCATGGCTCTCAGGATTCTGGGGTCAGATTCTGGAGAACTTCCTGCGGACCTTGGCCCTCAAGAACCGTTGACCGGTCAAGAGGATGAAAAAGGGTTGCACAGAACGTCAAAGCACAGCCCAAACCTCCAAGTGAACCGTCAAACCCTTGGTCCAACCGGTCCAAGCTGCGAAGTCGCATTCTCATTGCTCCAAGGGGCGAAGCGTAAGGACTGCACCAGGATTGAGGTATGCAGCACCAACAAGAAGTCTCCGCCCAAGCCCCAGTGAGGCATGGCACAGGCTCGGCATGCCTTCTTGCAGTGCTCCATCCTGATGGAGGTCCCAGGACAAAGGAAGATGGGGGAACAGTTCTGGTTGCTTTTGGTTTTGGGAAGGGTGGACTCCATCTAACGGAAGTACTTGTTCTCCCAAGTGATCCAGTCCCACGTGATTTGTTGGATGAAGGGTACATGAGCTACAGTTGAACTACGGAATTTTGGTTCATGAACCACGGTCCCGTATCACTGCATCAGGAGGCAGGATTTGGAAAGGTACTGCAGAAGTCCTTGGGAGTCAACCATGAGCCACTATGTTTGTCAGGGTCGGAGACGATTCTATACTTAACTTCTGGGCTTCTCCCAAAATGGAGGCACCCACGAACCAGTGTGGTCCAAGTTACCTTTGTACACGTGGTTTTGTATGTTCACGTTGTATTTTCACACCCAAGCTTGTGCCGAAATGGGGCGCTGCGCGCCCCCCGTGAACCCCTCACCTTCGCAGCCAGCACCCTCGTCCCCGTGGTGTTTTTTCGCCCTCAAACCTGAAACGGTTCGATTCCCAAATATATTGGGACTACAATTAGGTCTTTTGAGTCTTTTGATGTCTTTTGGTCAATGGTCTATAACACATAACAAAAATATAAAAAAACATAAAACACATTGTTCCAATTGATCAAGACCATGTACCGGGACAAGGGGTATTTACATGTAATTAAAAGACGTACCATGGTCTTTTTAAAGGTCTTTTCTCAACGGTCTTTGGGCATGGCATTCTACAGTTTCACACTGCCCCATCGCCACGAAGCGTTTGTGTCACATCTGTGGCACCTCCCGGTATGACATCGGTAGTTTATCAGTTTAGTATAAACATGTAAATGGACCCCTGTCAACCAGTCAGAAACCAGGATAATGCTCTGAAGGTTGCAGACCGGAAGTTGCCCCAACATCAACCCTAAAAGGGAGGTCATCTTTCAATTCCGTGGCTGGGAGGGTCAGGATGGAAAGCAACACCCGGAACCACTTGGCGACACCCGTCCGTGGTCCATCGGCCAAGTGTCATGTAAGTAAAGTACCTGCAGGGTCGATCGGCGCGGGACGCTCGATCGGCACGGAAGTGGAGTGGAACGTCGATGGCATCCAGGTGGAAACCCATCAGCTCTGTTCACACCATCAGCTCACTAGTCTGGTGTTGTTTTTTCTCTCTTCCCACTGGCAACTCTGTTGCTTGTTGGGTCAAGGAACCGCCCAATCGCCCAGGAGTCCGATCACCCAGAACACACCCGGTCGTCTCTCTTCGGTCCGGTCTGCCGCTGCAAGACCGATCCCAAACACTTCATCCGGTGTTCACGTGGAACCCGGGATGAGACGACGGGATGAGGATGTGAAGCTGGAAGCCTATATCCCAAACACTCCGGACTGGAACTCCTATGCCCCATAGAGGCCCCGACTTCAACCACTTCATTGTATGGATTCATATTACATCCCAAGGGTCGCGTCCGCGACTGTTGACTGTTGACTGTTTGAGCTCAAGACTTACAGTCCTTGTGGAACCACCAAACACGTGGATGGAACTTCTAACCCTCTTTAGCTTGATGAGTTACGAGATAGTGCGAGCATACTTATGAGCATATTTCATATTGTCATATGAATTCACTGTTTCAGGCCCTGAAACCGTCAATTCCTGGCATGGCTGGTGTTGATCCCCAAATCCGCCATGGTGCACAAACTCCCTATCTTATATAGTTCCCTCGTTTGAACCCACATAGACACATGCCCAAAAACTCTTTCACATTGGAGGGCCAAGCTGCTGACTGCTAGCGTCGCAGTCACCGCGGTTGGCCAATTCTGAACATTCTGCCAGAAGATTCTCACAGCCTCAGTGGCCAAGAAGGCTCGGCTCTTCATGATCTTTGTGCCTCATGGTGTTGGTTCTGTGCATCTCCTGTCTCATCCGTTGGGACTGCCCATGTGTTGGTGACGTTTTCATCATATTTTGTCATATCTAGATGGCCCCAGATGGTCCCAACATTGGACCAAATGGCTGTCACGTGAACGTGGTGTTCGCAGGTGATGATACTGTAGGTGATGGCCCCAACATGACAACAAGCTATCTCTCAACAGTCTGTCCGACAGGCTGGACTCATGTGGGTGTGGCTGAAACAGGGAGACCTCCAAACATATCCTGGAAAAGGAACAATGATCAAAACCCATGCGGATTATTCAACAGCGGACGAAACGGCCTCGCTGGGTTAAGATGGGCCGAAAAGCTGCTTCCGAGAGGTCAAGAAGGGACGAGACGCGTCGTTTAACATGTCGACCTCAAAGCTGGTCATCTCTCCTGGTGAACTATCCTCAGTAGACGCTTAAATTCGCACAAAACTTCCAAGATGTAGAGGTTCTACAATCCCAAAGTGAGGAGTTAATCAACAGTATCCCAAGAGATCCAGTCGTACCGAATCTCAGGTCAACGGTGATGTATTCGACACGTTAATGAGTTTCGTGCCAGCCAGTCGGGTCCAGGAGGATACCGAACCTGGAGAAGGAAAGAATCCCGGTGGTCTCCCAAAGCTGGGCGACCCCCGGTGGTCGATGACGCGGCAGCGGTCGCGGCGGGCCAGGCGCGGCCCGGTGGCTGGTCCAATTGCTCTGCAGTTCCATCAATCGTGCCAGCCAGGCCTCTGAAGATCGATGAGCTTGAAACTCAAAGAAGTACATCAGATACCTCTTCAAACAGTACCGCTTCAACATGTCTATCCCCAAAAACATGGGACTTCATAAGTCCCACAGAAAACAGCCAAAATCCGACAGAAAACTAGAAACACGTGGTGAAAGGACTGGATCGTTGTCTTGTAGTTTTGTTATGTTATGCGTTGGTGTTGGTGTTGGTGTTGGTGTTGGTGTTGGTGTTGGTGTTGGTGTGGTTGTGGTTGTGGTTGTGGTTGTGGTTGTCGTCGTCGTGGTCGTGGTCGTGGTGGTCGTGGTCGTGGTCGTGGTCGTGGTCGTGGTGGTGGTGGTGGTGGTTGTGGTTGTGGTTGTGGTTGTGGTTGTGGTTGTGGTTGTGGTTGTGGTTGTGGTTGTGGTTGTGGTTGTGGTTGTGGTTGTCGTCGTCGTCGTCGTCGTCGTCGTCGTCGTCGTCGTCGTCGTCGTCGTCGTCGTCGTCGTCGTGGTGGTGGTGGTGGTGGTGGTGGTGGTGGTGGTGGTGGTTGTGGTTGTGGTTGTTGTTGTTGTTGTTGTTTTAATTGTTTTAATTGTTTTAATTGTGTTAATTGTGTTAATTGTGTCGATGCAAAAAATATGTTTAAGAACATGGTGGCATGGTGATCGCTTTGACACGTCCACTGTTCCAAACATTGCACAACAACTGCACCAAAACTGGTACACTCAAAACAGATCTAGAACGACTCTGCCGACTGCCGTTCCAATTGACATGTTTGTCGCCGTGGACGGGGGCCAGACTTCAGCCAACTTTCTGCATCCCTTTACTTGGACTGTTTTGGGAGAGTGGAAATATCTCAGATGCTGATTCCAGAGTTGGACCTTGGTAGTGTGGTTGTTGATCTGACAAAAGCAAAACTCTTCGAACGTCTCCCAGCCATTTACCAAGCGCCTAGAAGTTGTGAATTTCAGAAACAATGCATGAATTCCGTGGCAGCTGCACCATGTTACCTTGACAAACAACAAAAGAAAAAGGATGCAGATGGCTGCAGAGTCTGTTAAAAGGAGAATTCTGAGCCGACCCTTCTTCTCTTCGCCCTCCTCTCATCTCCTCTCTCCCCCCCGCCGTCAGGAGCGTCACAGCGCCAAAGAGAGAGACCCCAAAGGTGCGCCGCGCCAAGGCCGCGCGCACCGACAAGTTCATGAGCCTCGGGGAGGAAGAGGTGGAAGGTTTCTGGTGCCAAAAAGTGTGGGCCTTAAGATTCTTAGAAGGCATCTTAAGTCCACTACCCCTAGAGAAGACATTGTGTCTGTTTGATTCTTCGTTTGATCCAACACGAATGAAAGAACCAGCTACGCTTCCGCAAATGTGGACCAGCGTCGGCGACCTTTTGAAGAGGTCGACCCTGGCGACTGGGCGACGCCGGCGCCGGCGCTCAAAAGCAGGGACCCCCCGCACGTGCCCTGCAGACTGCCCTGCAGCTGTGGCAGGTGGAGACTATGGTGTTCGATACCTTTTGAAAGATCCCTTAAAGGCCCACTTTTCGCAACAGTCTGGACATGTCTATATGCGGAATGATGACTCCAGCTCACGAAGCTGAACATTTCGGACCCCCCTACCAGGCCCTACCACTTGGGCAAACTAGCCAAGAAACACCCATGAAAACGTCTGTAACATCCATGTTAACATCCATGTTAAACATATTGTAACATCATATTTTGGGATGTCGAAGGATGGTGCACCGCTTCGATGGGTCGCACCGCACCCGTGGCCGGGGCACTCCAAGCGCCTGGTCCAGGCTGCAGCAGCACCCAAGGCCGTGAGGATGGGGGGTAGTAGAGCCAAGGCCATGCCCTGCGATCCGAAGCATGGTGGAACTGGGCTGAACTCTGGCTCCTGGCTCTTGCCATGGTTCTGGCGATTGCCATGGCAATCGTTGGTTCTTTTTGTGAGTGGAGAGTGATGGATGAGTGCTCAGGATTTCCTCGCCAGATTTCCTCCTTGGATCATGGACCTGAACCAACTGCTACATGTTTGAGGTCCCAAGCCCTAGCTATGAGGGTCAAGCCTTTGGGTCCCACTTCAAACAGGAAGGTGCAAGGAAGCCAGGACAATGGAGACGCATGGAGACGATTGGAGCACGAATGGAGCACGTTTTTTGGATGGAGCCCTGAAAGGACACCACCAATGTCTTCCCAGAACGATATGCAACAGACTTTCCTGGAAGACCCAGTACCAGATTCTCTAGATGTCATGGACAACCCTTAACCTCTGCGAGGCTGTATTAGACACCCTTTAGGGGGCCCTGGTATACGGTATCAATGACGGACGGATGCGTATGTAGAATAACGAGCCTTCCATCCGGAAAATCGACCACCTTCAACCCACCATGTTCTGGAGACCAAGGCAGTCACTCTTTCACGGCTCGTCCAAGAGGCCACGGGGTACGGAAGCACTCCAACCACCTCAGGACTCGACAGGAACACCTGAACGACGGAGAGTTTGCCGGGTCCGAGTCACGGCAGCTTCCCTTTTTGTATCCTTTTGTACATGAACAAAAACACACTGGACAATTGATAGACAGGTGTTTCGTTCCTTTCTGGAAGTAGTAGTAGTAGTGGTAGTGGTAGTAGTAGTAGTCGTCGTCGTAGTAGTGGTAGTAGTAGTAGTAGTACAGTAGTAGTAGTAGTAGTAGTAGTAGTAGTAGTAGTAGTAGTAGTAGTAGTAGTAGTAGTAGTAGTAGTAGTAGTAGTA